GCAGTGCTTGCTCATTTATGCCAGGGAACCTGGAAGACAGCTTCTTCATCAGCCAACTGGAAGAGATCCATATCCATGCCCATTCCAAAGAAAGAGGATGCAATAGAATGCAGGAATTAATATCACATGCAGGTAGCATTTTGTTGAAAGTTATTAAAGAATCATTGCAGTAATAATTGAACAGGAACTGCCAGAAATTCATGCCAGATTTAGAAGAGGACATGGAATGAGAGCATCACTACTATCATCAGATGGATCTCTATCTTTTATTAAAACATAGAATACTAGAAAGATATTTACCCATGTTTTACTGACTGTGCAAAGAAAATCAGCAGATCATAACAAATTACGGGTGGTGGTGCAGAGAATGGAATTCCAGAACACTTAATTGTGTACCTGCAGAACATAAATCAAGAGACAGTTTTTGTTTTATTCTCATAGAAAAAGGGGATACTACATGGTTTAAGGGAGTTCTGGTGGCCTAGTGGTAAAAAACTGCATTGTAATCCCAAAGGCATGCAGTTTAAATCCACCAGCTGCTCCATGGGGAAGGATGAGCATTTTCCTCTTGTGTTATTACTGCCTCTGAAAACTCCTTAGGAAGTCAGCAATGAGTTGGTTTCAACTTGAAGGCACACAGCAAGACCATGTTTTAAAATCAGGAAAGGTGTGTGTCATGGTTTCATCCTTTCACCATACTTGCTTTCTCTGAACACTGAGCAGATATCCAGGATGCTGGGTATATGAAGGGGAACTCAGCACCAGAGGTGGAGGAAGACTCATTAATAATCTATGCTATGCAGGGACACACCTTGCTTGCTGAAGGTGAAGAGGACGTGAAACACCTCCAAGTGAAGGTGTAAGACTACAGCCTTGAGTATGGATCACACCTCAGTCAAACCAATAAGCCAAAGGACAACAAACAGAAAAGACTGAAGTTGTTAAGGATTTCATCTTATATTTCACCAACATTGATGGAAGCAACAGTTAAGAAACCAAACGACAGAGCAGTGGGCACATGGACTGCAGAGGATCTCTTCAAAGTGCTACAATGAAGGTTTTTTGGTTTTGTTTTTTT